TTAAAAAAAAAAAAAAAGAAGAAGAAGAAAGTAGAACATATTCGGATGTGCATTGCCTTCGCCTTGAAGAAGCGAGAATAAATCGGCAAAAGTTAACGCTAAGCCCCTAAATTGGCTTTATATTTTTAATTAAGTTTCCAGAATTTTTTTTAATAAATAAGACTCTAAATCTCAGGATTTGTGTAATTTTATCTTATTTTAATAGTAGACTATAAAACTACAAACAAAAAAGGACATAGAAGAAAACAAAATCGCACAGATAGTAGAGTTTGAATCTAAATTTAATTAAAAGTTAAATAGAAGTCATAATTAATAAATCATGAAAATTTAAATTTGATTATAAGTTAAATTAAAGTCAAATAATATACTATTTGAATTAGAATATTAGACTCTACAATTTGAAGCGGGTTTTAAATTTCTAAGAGAGGTTCATTGATATTTATTTGAGATTTTGATTATTTTAAATGTATTTATTGAAGATTTTAAAAGACTAATTAAGTATTTATTTAAAATTTGTTGATGATTTTAACAATTTGATAATGTAGTAAGCTTTTTATAATATAGTAAGAAAAGATAATTAGTAAAGCTTGAATCCAAGTTTACTTCAAAATTGAATCGAAGTTATAATTAATGAACCATGGAAGTCCAAATTTAATTATAAGTTGAATTAAAGTTGAGTAATATACTATTTGAATTAAATATTAAATTCCTAAATTTGATGCAGGTTTTAAACTTCTAAAAAAGCCCATTATTGATGTGAGATTTTATGAGTATTTTAAAGAAATTTATTAAAGATTTTAAAAAATTCATTAGATATTTATTCAACATTTATTGATGATTTTAATCATTTTTATAATTTAGTATCACATAAAATTATAAATTTATGATATCATATATTATTAAATAAATAAATATTTATTATCACAAATATATTCTTAAATAAAAACAATTGTATTACAAACATTAGATTATATAATATTATAATTATAATATATTATTAAATAACTGTAATGTGTTATTAAATAAGTAAATACATATAAACAAATTTTTAAATGAAAAAGGTTAATTATATAATAATATATTATATTATAAACTTATAATATTATATGACATTATAACTATGTTATACAATTTAACAAAACTTACAATTAATTTCTTTAAAAAAAAAGAAAAGAAAGGAGGGGGTGGGGGACCTACATAGAACTCGTTAGGCAAGGAAAGGCCTACCAATGACTTATCTCGCATATAATCAACAACAAAAATTCATGTTCTAATCCTTCCATCTCTTATACCTTCTCTATTTTTGTCTATATTCAAGTTTCATTCAATCTGTATCAAATTTCTCTCATGGCGAGATGAAACTTACTAACGAATGAATAAGGGTGCATCTGAAATTATTTTCACACCGAATAAATATGTGCGCTATATACTTTTTTAAAATATTGTTAGCTATAACTAAAATTCTTTAAATTAATGCTCTTCAAGAGCACAAAAAGACTGACAGCTATAATCCAAACAATTCCAAATGAAATCTTGTTTGGAAGTAGACCCAGTTGGCTCGTGAGCAAAGCATGAGAGAATAAAATCACACATAAACAGATGTTATATTAAATCTTAAGCTCAAAATATATGTTTATTGAGTTCATGACTCTCTATTTATATATTTTATTAGTGCATCTTATTTTTATTTGATATGGGACCTTTGCTCATATGTCATCATATCCAAAAGATTAAAGATAGATAATTTCTAGCCCAAATTAAGTTTGAGGTAATATCTAAATACATATCCTCAAGTTTGGAACCAAATTAAATTTAGTATTTATGATAATTACTATATTGTGTCAAAACACTCTTTTTTTATTAATTTTAGATTATTTAATAAAAAACAACATGCTCTCATCTTAGTCTTAACCATATTTTATTCATAAATTATGCAATATGAATTTAAAATTTTTTATGTTTAATAAAAAAATTATTATTTACTCACTTTTAGAACCCT